CCAGAAATACTTTGTAATAAAAAAAAAAAAGAAGGAATTATTACCAGCAATAATTTTTGAAGGAAAAATTATTATCAGCAATACTTTAAAAAAAAATACCAGCAATACAAACAGCTATACATTCTTTGGAAAAAATATGACCAGTTATAGATTTCTTCAAAGAAAAATATTCCCAGAAATAGATTTTTGAAGAAATACATTACCAGAAATAAAAATTTTGTTAGCATTAAATAACCCATTGAGGTTGATATGCCATAAAACAAAATAAACCAAACCAATCTAAACCAAAGAACGCATACCCTATTCATACGAATCTATCCTAAAAATGTTGTCAGCATTAATTAATTCATTGAGGTTAATATGCCGTAAAACAAAATAAACCAAACCAAATCTTGCTGCAAAATATAGTCTGGTGCTCCTATTATCTATTTAGAGATCCTTGATAAAATCCAAAGAAGAATCAGCAATACTATTGGTCCTGATCTGGCATCTTGGCTTCAGTCACTTTCCCATTGCCATAATGTTGCTCTCTGTGCTTTTTTTTTTATAAATACTTACATGAAAACTGTTTAGATGAGCTCTTCACTATGATACCTAGACTTTATGAATCTAAGTGCAGTATTAAACTGGTGATGAGGTCTCATCAATTTACAGTTGAGTTGGTTAAATGTAATCATTAGTTCTATGCTAACAGTTTCTTCTCTTGCACTTCTCACTTGTGGAACTCTCTTCCGACTCCATGCTTTCCAGCTAATTTTAATCTGGAAAACTTTAAATGCAACATCAATCAATATCTGCTGTCCTCCTGATTACTCTTCCTGCTCCTTAGTAATGTTTTTGTTTCTTTCACATCCAGTAAACCCCTTGCATCTCAGTGGCTTTACTGCCTTGCATGGAGTGAATATGATTAAAAAAAAAGAAAAAAAAAAGTATTTTTCGTAAATTTTTCTGGCTACTTGCATATGTTCTTTCAATGCTTTCTCGGCATACATCAATAGAACCACCTCTTTGTCACTTGAAGTGTTTCTTTCCTCTGTGAGCAAGGGGAGACAACTCGAATCAAAAAGGAAGGAAATAAAAAGGTATTTTTTCTTTTTTTTTACAGTAAGGGTCACCCTGTACAAAAGCCAGGGGGCCACTCAATGTAGAGAGTTACATTAAGAGAGAGTTTATACAGATAGGAGAAGATAATGGTCAAGTTAAGGTTGTAGTGAAACATTCTCTTGAGAGCCAGTTTCACAGAGCAGCAATTTGTGGGAAGAAGCTGTTCAAGTGGAACTTACTTCTCACCGATGAAATACACAGAGAATGTGGGTGGTTTGCTACATGACAGGTCCTAGCTATGAAGGTCAGAACTGGCTGAACCAAGGAATGTACTTTGTTCAAGCACTTTCCATGGAAGTAGTAATAGAGCAGAGAGAGGCTTGTCACACCCCACCTATGAGAAAGAGGTTGGAGGGTAGAAAATAATTTGTCACCTACAAAGACTCAGAGACACTTTTGAATCCTATCAAGACTGGAAAATGAAAACTAGTCAGTTCCTGCCCAAATATGAAACAGTACTCCATTTTCGGCCTGATCTGGATCTTGTAAAGGTGGAGGATAGTATGAGGAGTCAGGCACTTACTAAAATAGTACAGGGAACTGACCATTTTTCTTGCATCTTTAACAATTAACTAAATATTTTGTACATGTGTGTGTGATATATATATAGAGAGATTGCATGGAGACTTAATGCTACAATTCGACGTTACAACGGTTAAGAAATTTAGAGAGTTTGATTATGTCACCATCTCATCACTAATTTTGTGCAAATGCATTAGTTTAACATTAGGCAGAAAACGAAATTCTCAATTGGATTCTTTTGATATTTGTTATCTCCCTTTGTTTGTTCAAGTGTCTCCGTAATAAAACCAAATACAAAAATCTATTTCACAAAAAATTATTTTTAAAAATACATAATAATGTCTATATCAATTTAGCCTTCATTTAAAATAAAGATGTTTTCCAAAAATTTTAAAAACAATGTAAAAAAATGCATGCATACATGGCACGAATTTGTCTATATCTTTCGATTTAATTTGGACGAATTCATGTTTTTAGTCAAGTGTTTATGCAATAAGGCATCACCAATAAAGATTCGTTTCTTGTTGCCTATTACCGAATTGTCTTTACACCCTAACTTCTATAACTTGAAAAGATTTTCATGTGTATTTAACGTTAAAAATAAATCCGTTTTGCCAGATGTATAAGAACTGAAAGAGAAGAAAAATGAATCCTACCATTAAGTATTTAAGTTAAACAATTATTACCTCCCTTTGTTTGTGCAAATGTAAGCCGAATGCAGCAAAGGAAAATCCACGCATCTAAGGTTTATTTAAAAAAATGAGGAAAATCTCTACTTGGAAAAAATAAATTAATAGTACATATTAACATGCTTTCAAATTTGGACATTTGTAAATAAGAACAAGATAAAGACGACTCTAAAAAAATCAGGGTTCAATTTAATACTGTAAATGTAAGTCAGTTAAAAAAATGCCATATGTGATACACGCTTCTTGGGTGATCATGTCTGTTTCGATTCATGACCGACTAGGCAGAAGATTTTCCCACCATAAGGTGCCAACCAAGTTTATAGAACCCAGTCTGTCCTGCTATTCAACCAATCGATGGATTCATACCTTTCCCAAAGGATTTACAATTTAACAATCTCCACTGGAATTCTAACTCGGCTATAACAGATTTCTCATATTTTAAAAATGGAAAATCTTTCTTGAAGCTTTTATTTTAGTCTTAATTTCAAACTAATAGATTAAATTTAATATTTTCAATAAGCAAAATACTTTGTTGAATTGCAAAGCGAATTGAAATTCATTAGAATTATTTTTCTTTTTATGGCTATCAGTAAGATTGATAAAATCGTCCATATTGACAAATCTGTCAACACAACATAATTCACTTTACTAAAAACATCTTTAAAAAATAATATATTGTTGTGATGATATAACCCAACTTCCCCATTCACGATAATGGACGGACTGGTTGCCGATTAAGTACGACCACAGCGGACAGTCGAAAAGTCTTCATTTGTTAACACCTATTGAGGTTAGCATACTCCCGACTCTGTACTTGACACACCTACATCCAATTATAAACCTATTATTGAAAACCAACACTCGGGTTACTCTGTTTATTATATCTTGCACAATGTTGAGAAAATGTTAGAAAATTACTAATGAATTTTAAATTCCTTCTAGTTGCCACTCTTATTTTCGGATAATGTTGTGTATGGATGTACATATTTACAAAAATTGAAACATATATATATACACAAACAGGAAATATTAAAATCCTTATTAAAATACTGGGGGTTGTTGAATTGTAGTAAGATTTTCCATTTATGGTTAGTAAATATAGTTTTTATTTAATAGTACTATCATTTGATAACTACAAATTAATACAAAATCTTAAAAGATTTAAAAATATATAAATTATTCTAATTAAAACTTAAAGAAAAAACAATTCTTATAAAAATTCATTATTCATTGAAAAAAAAATTTTTTTTTTGTAAGACAATAGCATGTAGAAAATATTATTCTTAAAAGCTTTTCTAATTAAGTAATGCCTTAATTTTAGTGCATTTTTTATTTTACAATTCAGAGTAGATTTTTTATAACTGGGGGTCCTGTTTGACCTCCTCCCCACCCACCCCCAAAAATTGCTGATTTAAATTCATTGAGGATTTGTTCTAATAACTGATATAAACATTAATCACTGCAAAAAACAAATTTCTCAAATTTCATAACATTAAATAAGTGGGTTGTAACAGACGTAAGAAAAAATTTCTAAGAGTTTCTAAAAAGGAAACATTTAAAAAATAATTAAAATTAATTTCTGAATAATTCCTGAAAGTTTCATTAAAATTCAACAATTATCTGATTTTTTGCAGGAATTTCTAAATCAATGTGTTTCTCACCACAAAAAGATGCTCAAATTTCACAGAATAATTTATGGTCTCCTGGTAATGCCAGAAAAACAAGATTTTTGACCAAAATTTTTGGAGGTTCTAACAAGGATTAAAACAAACAATTATACATAAAAAATTCTTTGGTCTTTTCTCTTAATAATCATGGCTGGACATTTCGATGACAGACATTTCACCGATAAAGTACAAGTAAAAATAGTACCAAGCAATACTTTAAGTATTTTAATTAGCAGTAAGGTAGAATAGGACTAATAATTATCACTGAAATTCAAGTGATTAAATTACTAAATCTAAATTTAAAGTTAAAAGTTTTCTTATTTCAATATTGAAATTAGTATTTTTAAAAATATTTGAGTGTATTTGGTAAAAAGTAGTAGCTAATTATTTAAATTCATATTTAACAGTAAGATAAAAGCTAGTTTATCCCTTTAAGATAATAATTATTAAAAGTGAAATTGAAAGATCTTCCATATCATAAAAGCTTAAGATTTTTGCTGCTGTAGTAAAATGTGCTTTTTCTCAAAATACTTATCTTACAGTAATATTTGAAGTAAAATATAATATATACAGAATAGATTTTAAAAAAGCCTGTCAAAAAAAACCCTGAAAAATTATAAATTAATACAGTAAATAAATATAAGTACATGTAGCACATTACAAGAGTGTGATATACATGAAAGTACACCAATACATTTTCGGTTAAATGTCTGTCAGCCAAATGTCCAAGTACCCCTAATAATAACAAAGATTTTAACAATAAAACTTTGTTTTTATTAAGTTTCAGGCATTTTTTCATCATGCATGCTTATCTTTAATGAATCTTTGGAGGTACCTATATTACGAATAGGATTCCCCTTTCTAAATTCTATATTTTTCAATTCTGACAAACATTCTGAGAGAAAGGTCTAATAAGCACTTCATCGCCACCCCCCAAGTCATGGCATGTCACTGAAGCAAGATGATTCCTACCACCACTTCCCATGATTGAAGAAAAATCAAAACAAAAAATATTTACTTTAAATGACGGTTCAATTCTTCCAAGTAGTTTTTCTGGTCTAATATTGTGGCCATTTTAGATTTCCCTTCAGCACTGAAAAATAAATAAAAAAAAATAAAGAAAGTGAAATGCAAGATTATTGAAATCAAATAAACATTAAAAATTAAAAAAAAAAATAAGTATGTAGATGATTTTATATATATTTTTAAATTTCTTTATATGAACACAAAATTTATCTCTGTCTATATCTCTGAGATGAGGTATTATGATTATTTACATTATTCGGAATGCTATCCTCATTTATATTACCATATTCACGTTTCAGTTTCTATATCTCTAGGATGAGATATGATTATTTACATTATTCAGAGTGTTATCATCATTTTCACTGCCATATTCACAACGTTTCGGCCTCTATATCTCTGAGATGAGGTATTATGATTATTTACATTATTCGGATTGTTATCCTCATTTTCATTGCCATATTCAGCTTCTATATCTTTAGTATGATGTATTATGATTATTTAAATTATTTACATTATTCGGAATGCTATTCTCATCTTTATTGCCATATTCACAACATTTCAGCCTCTATATCTCTGGGATGAGGTATTAGGATTATTTACATTATTTACAATATTCAGACTGTTATCATCATTTTCATTGCCATATTCACAACATTTTGGCTTCTATATCTCTGAGATGAGGTATTATGATTATATACATTATTTACATTATTCAGACTGTTATCTTCATTTTCATTGCCATATTCAAAATGTTTCAGCCTCTATATCTCTAGGATGAGGTATTATGATTATTTACATTATTCAGACTGTTATCCTCATTTTGATTGTTATATGCACAACATTTTGGCCATTGTACACTCCAGCCTTCTTTGAGTGACTGGTAATTTCAAACTAAACCCTTTATTTCAGAATAAAGGGTTGGGTTCGAAATTCCAATCACCAGAAGAAAGCTGGTGTGTACAACGGCCAAAACGTTATGAATGTGACAATGAATATGAGGATAACAGTCCGAATAATATAAACAAAAGTTATCTTTTACAAAACACATTTGATACATTAGTTGCTCACTTATGTCTTTGTAAATAATACTATGAAGCCAAAGTCATTAAAATCCAGTAATATATTAGAATGCTTAAAATATTTAAGTTTTAGGATTTTTAAGATTACTGGACAATTAAAAAATTATATGAAAAAAGGTGTTTACATTGTATTTGTCATGTAATTCTATTACAATTATTTCTCTTTTACATAAATTGGCCAAACATCAGGCTGTCAATAAATGTGTCAACACTTCATAATTCTATATTAATTTGTAGTTATCAAATAATATTTTTAAGTCCCCACCCTGCCAACCTTCTGTCAAGGGAAGTAACTCTTACAAACTATTTACATTATTTACATTGTTCAGACTGTTGTCCTCATCTTCATTGCCATATTTATGACGCCATTGTACACTCCAGCCTTCTTCAGTGATTGGAATTTTCAAACTGAACCTTTTATCACCAGAGTACATTGTTCTATGCCTCTTCTTGATGTTTCAGTATCAGTTTTATTTCCCTTTACTTCAACTTTCCAAGTTTTTGGAGCCAGGTATTGAACTCACAACTCTTTAGGTCAAGTCACTGGATTGAACCAACATTTTTATCTACTGCCCTTGAGGAACAATGTAAATTACAATACCTCATATCAGTAATATAACCACTCTTACAAACTATTTATTGCTTTTCAAGCTAGTTGAGCATAGCTTCATAGCTTTTCTTCTGTATGTCTCCATGTTCTGATTTGTGTCAAAATTACTAATATACAAGGTAGGTAAACAACATTGTAGTTTGACCTGCTTTTTTTTTTTAATCATTTTTTTAATGAGAGATATTTCTAGTTACAAAAGCTTAAATGTATGTCATGCATTGATGGGCACGTGTCTGAGCGGTTAGAACGTTCGCATTCTGTTCATGAGACCTGGGTTCAAATCTCACCATGGTCGCTTTGTCAGGAAGGAGATTTCCTGATGTTATCAAACTGGAGGGGTTGATCCCAGCATGCAGCACCTTTGGAAAGTGCCTGAAAACCATACCACGAGTTGATCCAAGCCTTGTGAGTGAAATTGGGTAGATGGAGCCCTTGGGGGCCATCGATAGCTGTGCTAGCACAAAATTCACAAGTCATTATGGCTGAGAGTTTGAGCATGCTGGCCTTGTTCAAATTGTCGATCACGCTAGATAACAAGCTCTTTCCCAGAAACTGTAACTAAGGTCTGCTCAGCATAGTTGCAGTATAAACCACAGGTGGGTTTTGAACAAACACGAATGTGCTTGAGCAGGCATCTGCAATAGCAACTGGCTAGCCACCCTAGTGGATGGGTATCCTTGAATACAAGTGGCCAGCTATATATGTTATGCATCTAAGGCAAAAGTAGGAAAATGACAGTTTAGCTTCTTGTTGTTTAGTTTCTTCTTCGATATGACATCTTGTTAGATAGGTTACTCACTGTTTCTCTTTGTTCTTCTTGCCTTCAATATATCCCATGAGTATCAAATTCTCCAAGCCTTCTTTCCTCATTACATGCCCTAGAAATTTCAACTGTCTCTTTTTGATTCTTTAGTAAATGTGCTTTTTGTTTCCGTTTCCTAAAAACTCCCTCGTTGCTTACAAGCTCGAAACTTAGTATTCTCAGCATCCTTCTGCAAAACTATATTTCTGTCATCGCAAGCTTTCTTTTCGGCTGTGAAGACTTCAAAAAATACAACTTTTTTTTTGTCAGTCATCAGGCTAACTCCCAAACTTCACCTAAAGAAGAGAATTGAAATCTGTAACTTTTTTTAACAACAAAAAGAGACAAACTCACCTTTCAGAATCAGGCATTTCCATCGGCACTTTGTTATCTCTCAAATATAAGCTAAAATCTATGACACCCATCTGTAAAGAGAGAAGCAGAATGTGATTTCATTTTAAAGTCACTCAAATTCATACAGAAAATCCAATTTGCATCTTTCTATATATCTTAGTAATAATAATAATAACAATTGATCATTTTGTATCAGGGTGCACGATGTTGGCACCCACTGAATATAAAACCCAGCATGACAGAGTGGGCCAATATCTGCACTGGAAAATATGCAACTTCTATGGAAAGGAAACTGAAAGAAATTGGTATGAACACCACCCAGACCCGGTTACGTAACAATTTTATGGAACTACACAATACACACAGACAGAATAATCAAAGCTAACCACCCAGACATCGTTATTAGGGACCGCAAACAAAAGAATTGTCTCCTTATTGATATGGCAGTCCCTGCAGACTGCAATGTATCTTTGAAGATATTCAAAAAGCTATCAAATCACAAGGACCTTGAAATTGAAATCACAGAAATGTGACACATGGGGATATCAACAATCCCTGTTGTAGTTGGAGCCCTTGGATTTGTTGGAAAAGACTCCAGTAGACTAATTGAAGGGATTCCTGGAAGCCTATGCCTTAAAGAAATACAAAAAATTGTTCTCACGAGTACAGCCCACACCTTACAAATGGCTTTATCTATGTAAAATATGTTTTGTCTTTTATTTGGTCAGTGGAAAATGTCATGATGCCATTTCTAACCTTAGGTCTCTGGGCGGGACCTGGAACAAAATGTGTACACACCAGAAATCAAAGGAAATAATAAGAAGAAGATTGCATCATTGAGGCCACCAAACCAGTCATTGAAAAAAGAAAAGAAAATGACTTGTCATCGATGTGAACATATTGTCATGGTCAAAATATTAGCAAGCATAAAAAGTACACTGTGTGGAACGTCATACTGTTCCAGTTATCATTGGGACATTGGAGTCAACTTCCTATCTTAAAATCTATTTTCCTATCTCTCTCTCTCTCTCTCTCTTTTTCTATACCTTTCTTGCCTTATCTCTTTCTCTACCTTTCTTCTCATATCTATCTCTCCCTTTCTTTTCCTATCTACCTTCTACCCTTTTCTTTCATTCTGGCTAACTACATCCAGCAGCAAGGCCTCTGATGGAGGAGGTGAGGAGCATGGAACCACCTTTTAATTACTGCTGTTCCCAGGGTGGTAACACCTGTTAGGGTCCCAGCTATGGGCAAATAGTGAACCTCCAGACTGGGGTCAAAACATGAAAACATAAAAATAAATTAGAAAAAATTGCTAGCAATACATTTTTAGAAAAAAAAAAAAAACTACCAAAGATCCCAAGAAAATAAAATTTCATCATTAATGACTCATAGAGGAGTTGATATGCCATTAAACAAACCAAACCCCCTTTCTTGTCTTATCTCCCTTGCCCACCCTTTCTTGTCTTAGCTCTCTTTCTCCCTCTTTCTTGCCTCTCTCTCTCTCTCTTTGTCTTTATTATCATTCCTTCCTTGTCGTTATTATCTCTCTCCCCTTTTCTATATTTTCTGATCTATATTTGTTGAGGAAGTAAAGGGAACATATTAGCCAGATTAAGAAGACTTAGCAAGGCATTCATTCGGTCATAGCCAGTTGTAATCAGGTGTGAGAAGCTGTTTGATGAAAGTGAGCAAAGATTCTTTCAGGTACTCACAGGCTGGTCAAGATCTTCTTCCTTGATACACAAGTTGCAATCAATCACATTAAGGCCAACTAAGAGTCCAGCTATTACCATTCCTTCATCCTCCATCATAATGGCACCGCGTTCATAGAACTCACTGGAATGAAAAACAAAAAAAGTAGAATTTAGGAGGAAAAAATAAAATAAAATACAAATAAAAGAAAATATCCGACATTGCAAAAATAAATTTCTTACAATCCAATGAAGCAAATGTATGACAAAATTTGCACCAGAGAAAGTTCCATCCAATAAAGGTTGGAAAATAAACCAGTCAAAAGAAAAATGGAGTTAAAAAAATACCAAAGATAAATATTATCAAAATTATTCATTGAATATCAAAATTTATTGGATGGGATATTTTCTAATGTTTATAAAATATATTAAGAGAGAAAAGAGAAAGCAACGCATGGCATACCTGGCAGGCTTAAGCAAGTGGATGACAGAATTTGGTCTGGGGGAGGTGGCAGAGGGATGAAACTTATTGAGAGCTACAAGGGATAAGGGTTAAGTGGAGAGCCATGATCACCTATGTCCTGAAAGGACAAGGCACATAAAAAGAAAAGATCTGATGAGCTTATGTAAATGGATGGCAAAACTGGGAGTTGGGGATGGCAGAAACCTTAGCAAAGGGAGAAAAACTGCAATGGGTCACAAGGGATGGGAAGTTTTGGAGAGGCATGATCGACAGTCTCTTGAAGAGAAGTGGGACATAGAAGATCTCACCTTATCACAAAAAAAAATGAAAAAAAAAAACAATGTTTTAATGTTGAAATAGATACAACCACAATTATTCGGACTATTGTCCTTATCTTTGTTGCCATATTTATTACAACATTTCGGCCGTTGTACACTCCGGCCTTCTTCAAGTGTTTTGGAATGTCAAACCCTTTATTTTTCTCACTAGGGTAGACTGTTCTAGTTCCACGTGCCATGTTTAATGAATGGCAGTTATCAGTTATCTCCTGTTAATTCCCCTCTCTAAGTTCTCCACTGCCTTAACAAGGTATTGAACTCACACTCACACAACGCATTTATCCACTGTGCCATGTCCTCAAGGACACATGGCACAGTGAATAAAGGCGTTGTGTTCTCAAGGACACATAGCACAGTGTATAAAGGTGTTAGTTAGATCCAGTGACAAGACCCAAAGAGTGTGAGTTCAATACCTGGATAAGGCAGTGGAGAACTTGAAGAGGTGAATTAACAGGAGATAACTGATAACTGACATCCATTAAACATGGCATGTGGAACTAGAACAGTCTATATAGAAATACAGAAATATAGGGTTCAATTCAACATTCCAACCACCTGAAGAAGGCTGGAGCATACAACAGCCAAAACATTGTAATAAATATGGCGACAAAGATGCGGACAATAATCTGAATAATGTAAATAGTGTACATAATACCTCATCTCAGAAATATAGACTGATAATGCAACCACAAGTTCTGTTCTAATAGTTTCTTATATTGCACTTCTTGCTTGTGGAACTCTCTACCTATGATCATCAAAGGTTTTAAATGCAATGTCAATTGCCATCTTCTTGCTTGTTGAACTCTCCATCTTCTGTCAATCGCCATCTTCAGTCTTCTTTTTGTTCTTTTGTTGTCTTTTCTCCTCACTAACATTTTCTCATCTCTTTTCACTCTCAGTAACCCCATGCATCTCAGTGGCATTAGTGCCTTGCTTGGAGGAGAAACGATTTAAAAAAAAAAATTGTGTGAGGGACCAACAAAATTCCTGGTAAAACCAAAGATGAATTGAAGGCAAAGATTATGGCAGCATTCACCAACTTAAATAAGGATACTGTCCAAAAGAATTGCAGGAGATTCCAAAGTTGTCTGGAGTGCATGGTTGAAGTCCATGGAAATTTTATTAAATAAATATACTCTTTAGTATTTGAAGATATTTTTATGTAATTTTGATAAATATATCTGTTCAAATAAGATGTTAGTGTTATTTTCATTTTTGTGTCATTTAAATGACAATTTATCCATCGCACCTTGTATATATGATTTTTTTTTCTTACCATAATATTATTATTAAAAATAAGAGTTATTTTTATAATTAAAGTGACCTATATGGAATCAAAGGATTGATTAAACTGAGATGCAATAAAAATTTAGCATTCAGCACCACATAGAAAAACAACCCTAAATTTTTAAAAATTGAACCCAAGGACGAACAAAGAGCAGTGATACGAATCTACAGAGAACATGTTACCTCATCAATGATAACCCACTGGATCACCATTACCATCTTGAACTTGCTGCTGATGGAGGGTGATGGGTGTCCTGCTTCTTCTTCATGTATCATGCTTGTTTGGCCACTTTTAAACGTCTCAATTTGCTCATACACACTTCTACGTGAGAGTGCACTGTCACAATATTGGGTTAAAAGCCTCCAATGAATTTCAGCTCATGACACACCCTCCAACCAGAGAAATCGAATCACTGCTACTTGTTCCTCGGAGCACACTGCTAACCGAGCGGCCATGTTTACACTGTAACAGCAGCAAGAAAACTGGCACAATCAAAGCTCAAACTTTGATCATGTGACCACAATTATAAGCACATGTGAGCAGAAGGTAGTGTGACAAACCTAAAGATATGTTATGACAAAAGTGCAGATCATTTTTGACTTAGCCTCATATATATATGTGTGTGTGTGTGTGTGTGTGTGTGTGTGTGTGTGTGTGTGTGTGTGTGTGTGTGTGTGTGGCGTGTGCATGCTCGATTTATGAGGGTCCAACATTCATATGATGTTTATTCTGAGGATAATTAAAATCATATAGGCATTAGTATACCAAATGGTAACAACAAATAAACAACAAATGTTAAATCCAAATTTTTGGTTAGAATGGACCCTGTGACACAATAGAAATCTGTGTAGAAGAGGGACGATGCAATTTAATCCCAATCTTGAGTGTTTCTGTTTTATGGCTAGTGAATGGTATTTTTTGAAGTCTGGTCTTCTAAGCGGCATTCACTTTGTTCAAAGAGGAACAGAAACGTAAAGGAGTGGATAAGGGTTTTTTGGAGATCAAGTGACAACAAACCAGACATTGATTATTTCTAGATGCTGGTCTGTAATAATGTTAAGGTATGGGATCAAAGAAGTCAATTCTAGTTCAGACTTGTTTGTCATGGGGGTTATGATGCATCACGTTCATATTGCTCACCCCATGTCAGGATGTATAGATGGGCTATAAGGTTGACATAACAGAATTCGTCCCAAGTGTCACCTACCTATCCACCTGAAGCACTGAATGTCTAAATATAATATTGGAAACAAGGTTCTTATTCTCATTTCTTGATACAGTGTTTGTTTTTCGCCTCTATTAACTTGTGAGCATGCAGAAGGACCTTTCCCAGATTTTGGTGCACACTAACAAGAATCAAAATGCAACATGGAGTAATCATTGGCTGGTTAGTTTGAAAAGTGGGAGGAGTTGCATTTTATATGCCCAGTAGCTATATTCCAAAAAGCATGTTTTTACAACAATAGGACAAGAAATTGTCCATAAATAAACCAATTCTAATATCCTGTTGGGTTGACCTCAATTTTACAAGTATGACACTGACATAACTAAAATACAAAAAATCATTGCAGAGAAGATAGATTTACAGTCATATTTTACATAAATAGTTGTTTTGTTTTGTTGAGGCAGGACCAGGATTAATCTCACACAAAACGAGGTGGGTGCTGCTTGACAGGGAATTTGTCATAATGAGGCAAAGTAAGGTTTTACAAGGCCAACTGCTCTTCCTGATACCCAACACAATCACTCACAGTATTCCAAATAACCTAGTGTTTTTATCAAGATGCTAACTCAAGGGAAGGTTGCTATTCAAGGCTTGAGACACCATCCTAGACCCCATATATATATATATATATATATATATATATATATATATATATATATATAAGAGAGCTATTATGAACACTAACCTTTTCTGTGATATTTAACTAGCTCTACACTTTCAGTTTTTGAATTGGTTATTGAGCACTTTTTAAATATAATTATTCCTCAGACAGCGTAAATCTTGTCTGTGAAAACACTTTTATTGTTGTGTGTGTGTGTGTGTGTGTGTGTGTATATATATATATATATATATATATATATATATATATATATATATATGGACAGCTTCACTATCATTATGGGGTATAAATATCAGTATTTATATTGTTATAGTGGAACACACCTATTCTATTGTTAATAGACTCTCCCACCTATAATAAGTAGGAGTAGGAAGAGTAACAAGTCAGTCGCTCAGTTGATGTCGGAAGACCGTTAGTCGGATATTAAAGTATCAGCCACCACAACTAGATTGCTGCGTCATTATCTATCATATCAAGTTCCTAACGTTTTGTACATCAAACCTTTTTAGGACCGACTTAGTGAAATACAAGCCTCCACTGTGAAACCACTCTACAACATATATATATATATATATATATACTAGCAGCATGGCCCAGTGTTGCTGGTGCTTGATTCAAAAATCGTACAACTCATACAGCAATTGCTATCACTTGACTTAAAATATTTTTGCCCTTCCTTGCATTTAAAGGAGTGCCCTTTGCCATGCTGATGTTGCTACATGCCTTACTTCTTGCCTATCTTACACTGCAAATTTTTTCTAAGCTCTATACTAAACATTAAATCTGTTACAAAAAAAGAACTAAACAAAATGAACACAAAACAATCAGCTTTAAAAAAAACTGGAAAAACAATGAAAAAAGAATGTTAACAACAAATACTTTTTCACACCCAACCCAATTCTGCAGAATCAGAATCAACATTGAGTTTAAGCAAGTGAATGAGCCAATTGGAGTAAAGTTCCATGCAGATTTAAATTTTTCCTACTTGTGATGAATGCAGCTATCAATATTTTTTTTTGCATGCTAGCATGCGAGTTAACATTTGTGTCAGTCAGCTGTTGGCTCTCACGCTGACCAATAGAATCTTCCTGCCTATTTGTGGCTCTCACTCTGGCCAGTAAAAATGGCTGCAAACTACATGAAAACTGCCGTAGAAGCATGAAAAAAATCGATTATTTCCACTATCGATGGGAGTTGGGAAATGCAAAGTCAGTCTTGGCCTTCCCACTAACTTGGAGCATGTGCATGTAAATTTTGGTGTAAATCTGTCGAATATTGCGGCCATGCATTCGTTACACACACACACACACATCCTGACTTTTATATATATATATAAATAATATGACTTTTCTGTTAGTAACACCTGTATTCCTTCTTGACTATTTATGGTCTTATTCTCCCTGGTTTTCAATGCATTTGTCTATTAAAATCATGAGCAATACAATTTTTTAAGAAATTATTTCAGTCCAAGCAAAGTGTCAATGCCATTAGAACACAAGTGGTTACAGGGAGTGAAAGTGAAAGAGAATGAGAAGATTGAAAATGGGGCGGAAAGGACAAAAAAGGAACAGGGTTCAAGAAGACAGAAGATGGCAATTGATGTTGCATTTAAATTTCTAAAGATTATAGCTATTAGTGAAGCAAGAATTCAGAAAGGAGTTGTGCAGGTTGGAAGTACGAGAAAAGAAAAGTTTCTCTGTGGTGATTAAATGAAAGCAGTTTTGTAAATCTACAACTTTAAAAACTTAAACCTGAAAACTTCAGATTTTTAAGTCTTCTCAGATAAATGATAGCTAGCTTTTAATTGCAGCCCAATTTAGGCCAATGGAAATTGTATTGTCTCTATGACATTAATATTGTCCAAGGACAGTCACGTCTAGCTTAGGCCTATTACTAGTAATCCAGTACAACCGGCTGCATGGATAGGTGATTGGTATTTAAAACTGCTCCCTCACTAGCTTTTCTGCTGGTGAGGAGAGTGGCAAGTCACCCCACAGGATGATAAACAAGACCTCTCAAAGGCCAGATGAATTTCTTATAAGAATCAATGGCCAACATGTGTGTAATACATACATACGTACATATATATAATAATAGCTGGCTACTCATATTTGAGGATACCCATCTACTAGCCAATCCCTATTAAAGACGCTTGCTCAGACACATTTATGTTTGTTCAACACTCACAAAGCCAACCTGTGGTTTATATTGTAACTATGCTGAGCAGACCTTGGGTACACTTTCTGAGAGAGAACATGTTATCTGGCATGATCAACAATCTGAACAATGCCAGCACACTCAAACCCTCAGTCATGATGATTTGTGACTTTGTGATAGCACAATTATCGATGGCCCCCATGTGTTCCGTCTACCCAATTTCACTCACAAGGCTTGGGTTAACCTGTGGTATGGTTTTAAAGGCACTTTCCAAATGTGTCGCACACTGGGATCATCTCCCTCCAGACTGATAACGTCAGGAAGTCTCCTTTCTGACAAATCAAACCTGTTGAGATTCAAACCCAAATCTCATGGTCAGTAAGCGAACATTCTAACCACTTGGCCATGCGCCCATATAAAGCTTAAAGCTAGCTTAAAATCCACCCTATTGGGTAGCATTAAAGCTAGCTCCTGCAGAAGGCGCTTGATTGGGCCTTCAGCTTGTTGAGAAGTTTGAGAATCCCAAAGTCTTTGCATATTCTCAGCATAGGAAGTTCTAGCTTTTGATCTGGGTTTTCATTTGCATGGGACTTTCTTTTCCTGCTTGCTGCCTTGACTCTTTTGATTGCAATCTGGTCCTGTGTTGGCAGAGACTTCTTTTTGTAAATCATACTGCTGCCATATGCAATAGGCAACAATAAACTACAGATGGACTCAAAATTGATCGTTTTAAGTATTGAAAGCTTACCTTTTAAAAGTTCAACAATACATTCTTATTGCTCAAAGTAGAGTCCAATAGTGTTATAAAAACCTTGGAGAATTCCAGTAAGATATCTTTAATCATTTCTATGCTACAATGGTTCAAAACTCAATCTAACAATTGTTATACCTGGTGTGTGTGTGTGTGTGTGTGTGTGTGTATATATATATATATATATATATATAGATAGATAGATAGATAGATAGATAGATATAGATAATATTAGTGGAAAATATACATACATATGCAAAATATATAAATATGAATACCCATATATGTATATTTTTAGAAAAAAAAATTCCAAGAGGAAGAATCCAGGTAGAACTCAACGCCTAGGACAGAGTAAGGATATAATAAAAGCTGCTCAGCTTTAATATTCCATGGTCATGACCATGGAATATTAGTGTTTAAGCCTTTTTATTATATATATATATATATATGTGTGTGTGTGTGTATTTAAGCAGCAATCCTAAAAAAAAAAAATAATGGAAGCCTTATTAATAAAAACCAACTCTTAATAATATCAACTATGAACATGGACACAATATCTTGACCATGTTTTTAAAAATGAAAACATTTTATAAATACATACATACAACAAACAATTTCTTATTTAACAGTTAAAATATTTAATCTTTGAAAATGGCTAAATGTATAGCCACAAGCCCTCAGATAAAAAGAGCATTCGGACAGTTTTTATATAATTTATCATCTGAAAAGAAAAAATTATTAGATCACATGAGAAATTGTATAAAAAAGTAAATAAAAGCACCTTATCTGTCGTATTCAATGAAATCAGTGTGTGTGTGTGTATATATATATATATATATATATATATATATATACACACACACATTATGAAATGGACAAAGTCCGACAATTATTTTTTAAGACATTATCTTTATATTTTCTATGAAAATTTCTCAGACATTCAGGTCAGTAAATGTTGTTAATACTGTTTATTATAAGCAGAGCATTTACTTAAATATTTGTATCTATAAAAAGAATGTATAAACATAAAAAAAAAATGTCTTAAAAAATAATTGTTGGACTTTGTCCATTTCATAATGTATGATGTTATTTGTTTACATTTGGATACACATTGAGCAAATATGAATGAATAAGAGAAAATCATGGAGAACTGTGTTTAAAAACAGTAAAATCAACCTTGCTAACCAAACGCTCCTCTGTAGCCCAATTGGTTAAGGCACATCAGGCTATATGACAGTTCCGTATAGGATACAGGTTCGATTCCTGTCAGAGGACGCATATTTTTGATGAAAATTTCTGACATTCAGGCCGGTAAATGTTGTTAATACTTTTTTTTATAAACAGAGCATTTACTTAAATATTTGTATCTATAAAAAGAATGTATAAACATAAAAAAAAAATGTCTTAAATTTTTGTAACTTTGTATATTTATGCATTACACCCTAATCTTTATTCCGTAAAAATTTCATTGCTAATAATGCATTACTTTTTAAGTAATACACATATTCATGTCTTTGTTGACTCATTTCACTATTTTAACATATTTTTACACTGTAAATTCAGGCAGTTCCGGATATTAGGGTTAACCATTATCTTCCCACATCTCATAACCTGTGCCCATAACTCTTGAGTAGCTCATGGGCATTGTACTGGATGAACATTAATGTAAAAAAAAAAAAATATGACAGGCAGCTTGTGATTGCCACTTTGGCTGTCTCACCTTTATGTGGAATGTGGCTTGATTATATAAGCACATAACTGGAATTCCTTATCTTCTGGCCAAATGGCACTTGATCCTGAAAGTTTTTATTTTATTTATTTTTTTCTCTATTTGTAGACAACAAGTGGTTGATTTGAAGCTCTCATATACAAATTTTACAGTCGGTTGTCATAAAACTACTGACACACCAGACTCAGATAATATCATTTACAGCCCACTTGACTACATTGATGTTGTAAGTGGGGAGCCATTGTGTGAAAATTAAATACATCAAATAGATGTGTCCACTTGCTATTCAAAAGAAAATGAAATGCAAATTTTATGCATTACTTACCAAAGTATATCATCTTTCTTCTCAATGATCAATTTGAAATAATCTGCCAATGTTTTCTGCATCAATGCCAAACGAAGCCACGCCCGTGCTCTGCCCAATGGTGTTCTACAAATTAGAAAGAATTTATTATTAAAATAAGAAATTATATTCATTGTACCTGAAACTGTTTCATAAAATCAATTCTCTAAGTATTAATTTACTCTCAACGTATGTAATGTAGAAAATACCTTCGCATTGTTTGCTCATCAGAATTATTTTTTAAGACATTTTTTTTATGTTTATACATTCTTTTTATAGATACAAATATTTAAGTAAATGCTCTGTTTATAATAAACAGTGTTAACAACATTTACTGACCTGAATATCTGAAAAGATGAATTTCTTATAAGAATCCAATGGTAACATGTGTAATAATACATACGTACATATATATAATAATAGCTGGCTACTCATATTTGAGGATACCCATCTACTAGCCAATCCCTATTAAAGGCGGCTTGCTCAGACATTTATGTTTGTTCCAACACTCTACAAAGCCAACCTGGTTTTATATTATAACGCTATGCTGAGCAGACCTTGGGTACACTTTCTGAGAGAGAACATGTTATCTGGCATGATCAACAATCTGAACATGCCAGCACACACTCAAACCCTCAGTCATGATTTGTGACTTTGTGATAGCTTCAAATTGTCGATGGCCCCCATGTGTTCCGTCTACCCAATTTCACTCACAAGGCTTGGGTTAACCTGGTATGGTTTTTAAAAGGCACTTTCCAAATGTGTACTTTACTGGGATCATCCTCCCTCCAGACTGATAACGTCAGGAAGTCTCCTTTCTGACAAATCAAACCTGTTGAAGATTCAAACCCCAAATCTCATGGTCAGTAAGCGAACATTCTAACCACTTGGCCGTAAGCCGCTATAAAGCAAAAACTAGCTTAAAATCCACCCCTATTGGGTAGCATAGCCCTAGCTCCTGCAAGCGCCAGTTGGGCCTTCAGCTTGTTGAAGTTTGAGAATCCCAAAGTCTTTGCATATTCTCAGCATAGGAAGTTCTGGCTTTTGATCCTGGGTTTTTCATTTGCATGGGACTTTCTTTTCCTGCTTGCTGCCTTGACTCTTTTGATTTACCCAATCTGGTCCTGTGTTGGCAGAGACTTCTTTTTGTAAAATCATGCTGCTGCCATATGCAATAGGCAACAATAAACTACAGATGGACTCAAAATTGATGCGTTTTTAATTGAAAGCTTACCTTTTAAAAAGTTCAACAATACATTCTTATTGCTCAAAAGAGTCCAATAGTGTTATAAACCCTTGGAGAAATTCAGTAATATCTTTTAATCATTTCTATACAATGGTTCAAAACTCAATCTAAAAATTAATATTAATTATTTATTACAAAAATTTAAAACCTCTATATATAGTTAAAATGATAATAGAGATACCTTCTAGATAGAAAGATAAATATAGCAAATATTATGAAAAATTTACATACATGAGAATTCAGATTAAAGTCAATCAAAATTATATGAATATTTTTAGAAAAAAAAAAAAACATTTGACATGAAAGAATCCAGGTTTCTGTCCATACCTCAATTGGGTCCCATTTAAATATTCATGGAGATACCTGTTTGCTCTTTTTACAACACTAATATAATGTGCATCTCATCTACAGCAAAGGCTAAAAAAAAAAAATAATTAATAAAAAAAAAAAAACCAACACTTAATAATATTAACTCTGAACATGGACACAATATCACGTGTTTTTGAAAAATGAAAACATTTTATAAAACATACATACAACAAAAAATTTCTTTTTTAACAGTTAAAATATTTAATCCTTGAAAAATGGCTAAATGTAGCACACAAGCCTCAGGATAAAAAGAAACGTACAGTTTTTATAATTTATCATCTGAAAAATAGAAAAAATTATTAGATCACACATGAGAAATGTATAAAAAAAAAAGTAAATAAAAAGCACCTTATTCATGGTCAGACTACACGAATGTGTGTATATATATATATATATATATATATATATATATATAAACAGGAAATGGACACACCATTTTTAAGACATTATCTTTATATTTTCATGAAAATTTCTCAGACATTCAGGTCAACAAGTAAAGGTTAATACTGTTTATTATAAGTAAGAGAGGCAATACTTAAATATTACCCATAAAAGAATGTATAAACATAAAAAAAATGTCTTAAAAATAATTGTTGGACTTTTGTCCACTTTCATAATGTATGTTATTTGTTTACTTGATACACACATTACAAATATGAATGAATAAGAGAAAATCATGGAGAACTGTGTTTAAAACAAGTAAAATCAACCTTGCTAACAAACGCTCCTCCTGTAGCCCAATTGGTTAAGCATCAGGCTATATAACCAGTTCATTATAGGATACAGGTTCGATTCCTGTCAGAGGGCATATTTTTTGATGAAAAATTTCTGACATTCCCAGGCGGTAAAATACTTTTTATAAACAGAGCATTTACTTAAATATTTGTATCTATAAAAAGAATGTATAAACATAAAAAAAAAATGTCTTAAATTTTTAACTTTGTATATTTATGCATTACACCTAATCTTTATTCGTAAAATTTCATTTCTAATTGCATTACTTTTTAAGTAATACACATATTCATGTCTTTGTTGACTCATTTCACTATTTTAACATATTTTTTACACTGTAAATTCCAGGCAGTTCGGGATATTAGGGTTAACCATTATCTTCCCATCTCATAACCATGCCCATAACTCTTGAGTAGCTCATGGGCATTGTGCTGGATGAACATTAATGTAAAAAAAAATATGACAGGCAACATGATTGCCACTTTGGCTGTCTCACCTTTATATGGAAATGTATTTGATTATATAACACATAACTGAAATTCCTTATCTTCTGGCCAAATGGCATTGGTCCTGAAAGTTTTATTTATTTATTTTTTCTCTATTTGTAGACAACAAGGGTTGATTTGAAGCTCTCATATACAAATTTTACAGTCGGTTGTCCAGTAAACTACTGACACACCAGACTCAGATAATATCATTTTACAGCCCACTTGACTGCTACTGATGTTGTAAGTGGGAGCCAATCAGTGAAAATTAAATACATCAGATGTGTTTCCACTTGCTATTCAAAAGAAAATGAAATGCAAATTTTATGCATTACTTGCAAAGTATATCATCTTTCTTCTCAATGATCAATTTGAAATAATCTGCCAATGTTTTCTGCATCAATGCTAAACCAAACCGCCCGTGTTTCCGCTCCAATGGTGTTCTACAAATTAGAAAGAATTTATTATTAAAATAAGAAATTATATTCATTTATTTTCGAATTGTTTCTACAAAATCAATTCTCTAAGTATTAATTTACTTCCTCAACGTATGTAATGTAGAAAATACCTTAGCATTGTTTGCTCATCAGAATTATTTTTTTAAGACATTTTTTTATGTTTATACATTCTTTTTTATAGATACAAATATTTAAGTAAATGCTCTGTTTATAATAAACAGTGTTAACAACATTTACTGACCTGAATATCTGAAAAATTTTCATAGAAAATATTAAAAAAAATGTCTTAAAAAATAATTGTTGGACTTTGTCCATTTCATAATGTGTGTGTGTGTGTGTGTGTGTATTCCAGTTATGATAAACAGTTGAATTCTTTATGATAATAGTGTTTACCATAATTCCCAATGTGTAATATTCATTTTTTTCTAAAAATTAATAAGTAAAATTAGGAGTGTGTATTATGCACAACTATAAAAACATCTTTAAAAACTTCTTTAAAACTCACCACAAGTATCCCACAAATTTAATATATTTGGATTTATTTCACTCTAACATCATAAGGAGCAAATCAATCATATGTACCCAATAATACTTACAAATGTAAAATAAAAGAATAATATTCAAGAAACTAAATTAGAATAATGTTTGTCAAAAATTTACCTTAGAGAGAAAACATATCTTGTAACTAGTATAGTCAAATACAATTTGTGAATTGGTGACATATGAGTTCAATCCTCAACAAGGCAATGCTGGAAAATGTAAAATAAAAAAGAGATAGACATTATCAAGAACAAAATAGATTAAAATAATAGTTTAGTTTTGTTAGGTAACCTAAAAGAATCTTTATTTCCCATCATTACAAATAATAGTTAAAAAGGTAAAACAATGATTGTTCATCATTTCTGCATCATTATAAGACTATGAGGGCTCATTGCAACCAAACCTCACAACTTCATTTTGTCCAGCTTTTTGGTTTGTTGTTCTTATTTGGCAGCATATCCACATGGTTTAAATGATATATCAATAAATACGTTATATGCACTAACATATCTGGATGAATTCTAACAAAGAGAGGTTAATTTAATTTGAAAGCATATCATTTCAAATTATTTTCAAATTATTTCCCTTCTCATCGATCGAATATTAGTACAAACGATTACCAGCTTATCGATATCTTAGATAATAGTCGATAATTTACTTTAGGGAGAAATCGATTTGATCCGTGAGTTAATGGTACCAATTCACTGTTTTTTTCATAATCTGTTTTTCTTCATGCAGTGAATTTATTTTTTTTAGATAAATATGTTCAGTTATTCTATGCTTGTTAATAACCCCGAACCAATTAGAAAGATTAGAATGATCGAATGTATGCAAATTGGCATGCACTTAAAAAAAAAGGCCACCATTTAATTGAAATCCTGTTTTATTTTTTAAACTTCTCGACTCGATCAACGTGATAGACACTGAGATCAATCAGTTTGTAGTCGATGTCATCATATAATAAAAAACATTTATAAAACTCAGCCAAAAATTTTTCGCAAAAATATTGTGGATTTAGGATGTCCTTTGAGATTTATTCAGCGTTGTGTACTCGGATCCGTCCGACTCGAGGATGATGGGATATTTCGGCGAGAATGGAAGAAATCTGATTATTCTAAGATTAGCCCTATTAATTTCTGTGAGGAAGATGCATAGATATATCAAATTTTTCAAGCCAGAATCCTAGACAGGTTCAATTTTTATTAAAGATTTAG